CAAATTTTTATTTTAAATAAAAAATAATAAAGATAAAGATAATTATAGTTAAAAATTACTATTGAAAAGGTTTGACATAAAATTATAAGAATTAATATAAAATCTTATAAAAGTGAAATAAAAAAAATTAAAATCTTAACGTAAATATGTAAGAGTTAACGTAACAAGTGATAATAATAAGTTTTATTACATTAATTAATTAAATATAATTTTAATATTAAAAAATAATATTCTCATAGTTGAAAGTTAAAAATAAAATAAAATTAAAAATTAAATAACTTTTAAATAAACTAAATAAAGTTAAAAATTATTTACATTGTTATCCTAAAATAAATAAATTTAAAAATTATATATATTATTTACTTGTAACCTATTAAACAAATTTTTATTATTTTTTAAAATTTTATTTATTGATTTTACAGTAAAATTAAACTTACTATAGCGTTCACCTTGAGTTTTGTTGATGGCATTGGCTATTGCGTGTTAAGTGTATTTCGGATGGTATCTCCATAACATCTTTGAAAGATTCAGAGTACTTAATTCTTGGATTTTAAGAGATTTACATATCTCCATGATTTCTTCGAGAGATCATGCAGAGCACCCCGAAAACAAGAACACACGATGTGAAAACCAGAACGCCTATAGAGGAAAAGACGACTCTAGCCCTTGATTGAAGCAGCACTCACATGAGAGAAGTGCCGGATAAAGAAGGAAGAAACACATGCAAAAGAAAAAAAAAAAAAACAGAAAGAAGCACTCAGAAGTCAATGCCCAAATCAAAAAGAGGACAGAAGAGAAACACCTGGGGCAAAACCAGGTCACAGAGTTCGCTCATGGAGCACGTCGTCGTTTTTTTATTCTTCAGGATCCATATATATATAAATATATATGCCAAGAGAGTTCACGTTTTCAAGTTAACTGTGCAAGTATTCATTTCTTCCTCTTCAGAACACAAATGCCACGTGGCTTCTCAAGAGCTCATGTTTCCAACTTCAATATACGAAGTATTAACGTGTTAATATCTCCTAATGAAACATAGCATCTGCATTGGTTAATAGTGAAAACTTACGCTTTCAACTTATTATGCATAAAAGAAAAAATTGCTAATGAAGTTCTACAGGCATATATATATATAAAAAGAAGTACAACAGGCTTGTACGGCACAAAATAAACTTAACTATGGCTAGCTGTAATCAAAATAAATGCACTACAACTATGATGGTAGAAGTACATCTAGTTAAAAAGTTACGTTTTTCTTGTTAAAAAAACCAGATTCGAAATATCTTTTTTCGATTAAAAAAAGTTATGAAATGGTTGCTTGTTAATTCCTAGTTTATATTCATCATTCCCACGTGCATGCACGTGGCATTAGGAGCACTCGCTATAAGTTGTCATCTCTGAGGGAGGGAATTGCATAGCAGGGGCAGCCAAGAGTGGTGAAATTGAGCCTCAGCAAACTGATCCTGAATAGAGAGAAAAATGGGGCACGAAAACAAAGCCAAAAAAGCTCATGTTCTAATCTTTCCTTTCCCTGCCCAAGGTCACATAAACCCTATGCTCCAATTCGCTAAACGCTTAGTCTCCAAAGGCGTCAAAGCCACTCTAGTCTCTACCGTCTTCCTCTCCAAGACCACGTTTTCCGACCCAACCAGCTCTATTGATATCCAGACCATATCCGATGGCTTTGATGAAGGCGGGTATAATCAGGCTGGGAGCCCTGACGTCTACCTGCCAACTTTCTGGTCCGTAGGCTCTAAGAGTTTAGCAAGTTTAATCAAGAAACTTGTTGATGCTGGCCATCCTATTGATGCCATTGTCTATGATGCGTTTTTGGATTTTGCACTTGATGTTGCAAAGCAGTTTGGGATAAGGACCGCTGCGTTTTTTACTCAAGCTTGTGCTGTCAACAGCGTGTATTACCATGTTAGCAAGGGACTTCTTCAGCTGCCATTGCCGGGGCCTAAAGTTTCTCTCCCTGGATTGCCTCCACTTGAAGTTTCCGAGTTACCATCTTTTGTTTGCCATCATGGATCGTATCCGGCTTGGTTTGATGTGGTTGTGAATCATCAGTTTTCCAATATTGACGAAGCTGATTGGGTGTTTCTTAACATTTTCTACGACTTGGAGAAAGAGGTATAGTTCGTATTTCTTTGTTTTTTATTTTTTTAGACACTGACTTATAGATTAATTGTAATAACTAGATCGATCCTAAAAGCTGGTTTTGTCCTTGTGGATTTTTATTAGGCCGTGGATTGGATGTCACAATTCTGGAATGTGATGACCATAGGACCAACTATTCCGTCTATGTACTTGGACAGAAGACTCGAAAATGACAAACACTATGGCATGCATCTCTTCAAGCCAAAGACCGGCACTTGTATGAATTGGCTAAGTGGGAAGCCAAAAAGTTCAGTCGTTTACGTGTCATTTGGAAGCATGGCAGAACTAGATGTTGTGCAAATGGCAGAGCTAGCTTGGGGATTGAAAGGGAGCAATTGCTACTTCATGTGGGTTGTGAGGGAGTCGGAGCAGGCCAAGCTGCCAAAAAATTTCATAGAGGAGACGGCGGAGAAGGGTTTGGTGGTGAGTTGGTGCCCTCAGTTGGAGGTGCTGTCTCATGAGTCGATAGGTTGCTTTCTTACCCATTGCGGCTTTAATTCGGTTCTTGAAGCATTGAGTCTTGGAGTTCCACTGCTGGCAATGCCTCAATGGACGGACCAAGGCACTAATGCCAAGTATGTAGAGGATGTGTGGGAAATCGGAATGAGAGCTCGCTCTGATGAAGAGAATGGTTTAGTGACGAGAGAGATTGTTAAGCATTGCATAAAGGAATCAACGGAAGGAGAAAAGGGCAAAGAGGCTAGGAAGAATGCAAGCAAGTGGAAGAATTTGGCTAGAAAGGCAGTTGATGAAGGTGGAAGTTCAGATAAAAATATCGATGAATTTGTAACTAAACTACTCGGTGACTAGTGTGATGTCTTCGAAATTTATCTGTTCAACTTTATTTCAATTAAATTGAATAAATGAAATATATAAGTATTTAATTTATTGATTAGTATATTATTTTCTTACTTAAAACACAGATTTCAAATATTCTTTTTTTTTAATTTTAAAAAAATGAATAAATACTTTTGAATTTAATAAGAACACTTGCTGCATGTATAATCATTCTCAACTAGAACGAATTTGTACGAAAATAGAGTGGCAGAGAAGCTGTGAACTCCAGCGAGACGAAAACTGATAATTATTCTTGGTAAGACATTCTTTGCCTTTTTTTTCTTTTTTGGTATTTCGAGTTACATGACAATGACAAAGAATATTTCTCTCTTGTTTTGTGAATTCAAATTTTTTAATCATTTATTTTTGGCATAGAAATTGTATAAAATCAATTTTTTAATTCGTTATTAATATGTTTCGCAAAAGAGAGAGAGAGAGAGGACTACACTACTGGGATCAGGACATGAGTACAAAGATTTCCATTTTAACGATATTCTTTTACAAATGATATCTTATTTTTTGGGTCATACTTTTATTATTTATTATTTAATTTTTTAAAAAATTGTTATAAAATAAAAACAAATGATAAAGAAACAATATCATAAGTGATTTAAAATTAACAAATGATTAAAACGTGACATGTCACTTATAAAATAATTACTTTTAATAATGCATTTTGTCATTTAAAAAAATTATAAACTTTGTGTGTATCCTTTAAAAGTTTTGTTTTTCCTTTTTTCCAAATAGAATTTTTTTTCCTTTCAAAAATAAAAATTAAATAGAAGAATTATTAATCAATTAAAACCTAATTAAAGAAAGATATTACTTATTGACTAGGTGATCAAAAGGGTAAAACAAAACTACGTCTCATTGTTGTTAACTCAATGTTTAAAATGGGTATGAGGTGTTCGGCTTCAAGCTAGTAACGATTTAAAATTTTTTAAATCTATTTTTAAATCATTTCAATTTTCTAGACAGATTTGATTTGTAAATTTTAAATTTTGGTTTTGAATATTTTAATCTGATTTTTAGTGTCTTAATTTTGAAGATTGAGAACGCATCAGATGCACAAAATAATTTGGAAAAATCAAATTCGATTTTATGGCAATATGATGCGGTTTGGGTGACAGAATTGGATTTTGTCCAACTTAGCTAGTGGTCCAGTTTTCAGCTTTTAAAAGGGGTTTTGAGGCCTCTAAAATTGCTGAAAAAATTTGGGAGCAATGCACATTGGAATAGTTCCAAGAGAATTGCCGATCAATAGCAAACGGTGGAGTAAAAATCATAAAATCGTGGCTGAAACTGCTGCTGGCAGCAGCGTTCAGGTCATAGTTTAAGCTAAGTTTGGTAACTTAAAGAAGGCCTAATTTTGGGCAATTTGTTGCACTTATTGGCTGGTTTTTGAAGTTTGAAATGAGTTCAAAAGTTGACTAATAAGAAGACTAAAATTAAGAAATTAAATCCCTAAATTTGTGCCACCATAAAGCCACATAAATGGCTGAAATCATGACTATGTCCAACAAACATAGGTCACAATTTTTGAATATTTTGAGCAGCTAATTATTGGTCCTGTTGGAGTGCTAAAAGGGATTGAATAGCACTAAAAAATTTTCTGTTTAGCCTTTTAGAGTTTGTAAAACTCTTAATCAACTAGATGAAGGAAAAGACTAAGACTTGTTAGAATTACAAGACACCAAGTAACGAAAGGTAAAAAGAAGTGGGCAATGCAAGAGTTTTTATAGTGGTTCGGTCCCTTTGACTTACATCCACTACTTTGATATCTTAATTAAGGATTTTTATCTCAGCTTCACTATACGGGTGGAAGTAACAACTTTCATCAAGTTTTTACAAAGTAAGCTTGCAACCCAAGCTCTAATCCCTTGTAACAATCTTTAGAGTACTTCTCATACTCTAATTTTTCAAGAAAGAGAAGAAAAAGAAGTACAATTAAGTATCTTTACAAGGCTAGATAGGTTGTAATCAAAGTCAAACACTTTTTTTGGATTTGGAATGAAGAACAAGTGTTTTTGGTGAAGAATATTTGACTTTTTGCTCAAAAGTAGCTCTTTTCTCTTCAAATCTACTTTCTTTGACTATTGGAGCTTTCTTTTATATTTGAGAAGTCAAATTTTTCTATTGGAGATAGTTTATAGCTATTAGAAACAACTCTAATGCACTTCAAGCTGTTATTTTGTCCTCTAATGTTTAAATTCTAAAAAGCAGATAGACTTTGGCTAATCAGTTACAAGCAGCTCTAACCGATTGCAGCTTCTCTAACTTGCATTATGCTACTACTGTGTTCTCTACTATGACCGATTAAGAGTCTCTGTCTTCAAACTTCTCTTCTTCAGCAGACTTCCTCTAACTGGTTATTACAAGCTCTAACAGATTATAAACTTTTTGTTTTCACTTCTCCACATAGAAGTCTTCCTTTAATCGGTTAGCTCTTCCCTTAACTGATTGAAGCTTTACTTCCTTCAACCATAACCGATTAAAATCAGCTTTAATAGACTAGAAGATCTTTGAATTTTGAACTTCTCTATTTTGGTTCTCTTTAACGGTCAACTATATTTTTAAACTTATTTTTGATGCTTGAAGATACTAGAATCTTATACTTTAACCGATTAACCAAACCTCTTAATCGATTAGCATATCTTTGTTTTGCTTTAGCTTATCACATAGCCATGTCTTAACTGATTAAAGTCCCTTGATAATCAATTACTAAGGTTCTGTTTTTATTCATTACTTGCTCTTTCCCTCTTAATTGATTAACTCTTCATTAAACTTAGAAAGCTCCTTGATTTGCCTTTAATTAACAAGTTTGTTAGGGTATTAAATTAAATCCTGCACACTTAAATAACAAGATTAGATATTAATGAATGAGAAATGTTTTGTTATCAACAAAAATATATGGAATCAAGACTAATTTGCATCCAAAAATCATGAAAATGTAATATGGTAAGGTTTCATATGTTAGCTGACCAGAAATAAAAATTAAGGACTTAATTCCCTGATTTAAAGCCGTTTTTAAATTAAATACCATAGCTACACCATTGTTGCTAGCAGCAGTACTAAGGCCACTGTTTTTGGGTGATTTGGCCAATCAATTTGCACCTCAAAATTATGTAAATTTGATATGGAATAGTTTCATATGTTGGTTGTCCAAAAAATAAATTAAGTATTAAAATTCCTAGATTCAAGGTCTTACCTTGTTCTTTCATACATTTTCCCTCATACCTTCTACTGAAGTACTTCAATAACCACATAATGGGTTTCTAACCATTACTCAGTATATACAATAAAACCATAATATCCACTTAACGAGTTTCAATAACTGTTACCAATTACATTTATTAAAATTTTTCTCAATCATGTTTCTCATTATATGCATTAAAGCTTGTTCTTGAGTAATTATTTCTTTTGGCTCTATATATAAAACTTTCACAATTCATTTTGAAAAACAAGTGTATTGTGAGGAATTCCTTATTTGAAATTAAGGCAAAATAGTGAATTTCTTTTTTTGGTGCTCCGTATAAAGTGTTAGAAACTTAGTGTTTCTCTCCCTAATTTAGTTTCCTACATATAGTGACCGTGGATAGTTGATTTTGGTTACTAACTTATTATTTCTCTACAAATTGTTTTACTGTAATGTAATGTTATACAGAGAATAATGAGAGCAACTAGAACAAATGAAATACTATTTTATGTGAAATAACTACTTCATATGGAGAGTAGTGAAAGTAACTAGGAATAAGTAATAGGGTTCATGGATTACTTTTACCTTGAGATGTTCTACAGAGTTTAGCTTAGTGGCTTAGACATGGAGGTAGTTAAGAGATTATTCTCTTAACTTATCCTGAAGTACCTTTTTTCCCTTTCACAATTTTTCATAATTGATTTGAAAAGAGGAGATTTCTAGAGCTAGAGCAAACATATTTTCACTCAAAGCTTCTCTCTCTAACTCTCTTTGACTTAGTCTTTCTCCGTCCTAATCTCAACCTTACTCTACTACTTGCTTATGCTTTACTTATTCGCAGTGTTATTCTACTACTTTAGTAATACGATTAGTTTATTGCTCATCTATTCTTTACCTATTCTCAATCATTACTCTACTACTCACCTATGTTCTTCCATCTACCACTCAGTACTTCAAGAATTACTCTTAACTTCCTCTCCGTCACCTCCAGTGCATTCTTTTACATATTTGCAACACTTTTCCTTTCCTTACCACAAGAACCTCTTTACAGTGACCAAATAGTTGCATTTTATTATGCATAGCTCTTTTTTGTGTCTCTATTTTTGAAAAGTTTAACTTAAATCCTCTTGGTTAAGCTTCAATTGCAAAGGCTACTACTTTCCACATGGTTACTCACTTACTCCCCATCAAATGATTTGGTCATGCATAGAAACCATAAGTGTTTAATGGTGTACAATAATAAGAGTTTATGTTTGATGCACTGATAATATATAAGGTTGTCAACGAGTAAGGTACTCGATAATTTTGAGATACCTGTTAATTTTGAGGTACCTGAATCCTAATTCTATAAGAAATAAAGTACTCGAACCCTGTTAACCACCTGAATAGTTTTAAAAATTACTACCTTAACACTAAGCCTAATATATCCCCATTACCTTATAATTACCCTAACTTGTTTAAAAACCAAATTATGTAAAAAAAATTTCAAAATGATATTCATGGATACTCAGTTACCCGAAACTGAATCCATACCCGTATACATATACAACAATATTTCTCATACATATTTCATATAATTTATTAATAATTAAATTAATAAAAACACACAAATAAT